AGTGAACCCTATCAACATGACCTTTCTGTGTTGAAAGCCTACAGCCTGTGTTGAGGAAATAAAATTAAAATAAATATTTTTTACCAACCCAAGAGTCCTCCTCACAAAGGTAGTAGAGAAGAAACAGCACTTTTATTATTGACTAAGCATTCAACCAGAGTGTGATATCTATCACAAGCACCAAAAAATCACAAAGACAAAAGACATCTCACCTTTCATATAGCCAAGTAGGTTTAACCCATTATATATATGTTCTCAAGATAAACAATAATTCGATTTACCCTCAAATAAGAGGACTTGACAAATAGTCAAGTAGTCAGCTTGACAAAAAAGTCAAGTTTAGCTCATTCTAAATCACCTGGTAATTGGGGGGGACCACCTGTGTTAGTTCATTGACTTTATACAAAGGAAAAAGAAACTTCTCCTATCTTTATGACAGGAGCTATTTTTACAGCTTTGAGCCAGGTGTCAACTAAAGTTAGATTCCCATCCTTCCTGAGAACCTAGGAGAAACTGAGATAAGGCTCCTGCTATCGCCTTTGGATGTTTACCTTTAAAGGAGATAGTTGTCAAGTCCTTTTCTGAGTCTTAAAACTGATAAGAAGCCCATCTAGGTTTCACAAGGATTTATCTCCATTTCCAAGAGAGGAGACAAGTTTTCTGAAACAAATGCTCTAAGAACAAGGGAGGGAAATGTCTTCCTTTACTTTCAGCAAGGGTAATTAAGCCTCTTAAACATTTTTATTTGTCCTTACACCTGGCTGATAGGAAGTAGCACCAGAATCTGAGAGTCTGATTCTAAAGTAGCCTCTAAAGAGAAACTAGTCTCGTTGAGTTTTCTTCTCTTGGGACTCTGTTGTAAATACTGTAGAAGAGGTGAGGGTGTGACAGCTTGGGGATTTTTCCTTCAAAGTCATTTCAATAGATTCATGTTGGGTTTTATATTGTAATGAATCATGGTAAAAGGCTGAGCAGAGGTCAGAAGGTAGAAGGACTGACCTTCTTGTGGGCACTAGCTTTTCAAGATAAACAAAACAAAATAATAGAATCAGGGTTAATAACTATTCAGGGCTCAGGTCACCAGATATTAAATTTTTTTGACTCCAAATTCAACATTGTCTTTCCTAGAATCCATTAGACCTGCATTCTCCACCTACCATCCTATCTACATAGGCCCTTAGCTGCTGGATATTTTGTCACTTCTGTCTTATGGACAATAAATTCTGACACTAGATCTTGTATTTTTACACCAACTTTAGTAGTTATGCAAATGTCCAAAATGTATTTTAAGATTTTCAGAAAAAATTAATATGTAACTGTTAATAAATTATTAGATACATTTTCTGGAAATGACAATTTGCTTTGTATACCTGAAGTCTGGCTTCATCTTTACAAGAAGACATGTGTAGATCATTCTCTTTCATTTGACAGATAAAATTGTTCAGAGTTGGTTATATATTGAAAGGGAAGGAAAAATCAATTTACACAGCACATTCTTTAAGAAAGTGCTTTCTGTCACACTGGCTTAAAGTTTCACAACACTGCATCACTTATTACCTAAAGTTAACTTTAAACAAAACCAATTTTGGAATGTGACTCCTTTCAAAATTGCAGTTTTCTAAATATCTTATGGTCTTTCTTGTATATACTTTCTTATCCAAAATAACTTTGTTGTTCAGCGGGTGACAGGATGTAATAGCCTTCACTGTTGAGAACTAGCCTGAAAATAATAATTTATTTTATTAATGATTTCCGTATTTCTTAAATGTAGACATATGTTTTTCCTGAGTGATTCAGCTCCTTACCTATATTGAGATTGGCAAAGAAAATAGAAAAGTCATGAAAGGTATAGAATTTTGACTCAACCTGTCATAACATCATGTCATTTCAAACCAACTGCTGTATGTAGTGGTAAGCACTACTTTGACCTTTCACTGGGTTCGGAGGAGATGAGAAATGGTGCTCAGTTTTCCAGCCTGGCATCAGGGCATGAGATGCCTAGTCCTCTGCTATCTGATCTAGCTATTTCTATAATTATAACATCTTACATTTGAAGGAGAATTGAGAGGGCCTTTTGTCCAACATTTAATTGAATGTTATAATCCCGTATATCCTTAAATCCTCTGTTGAAACTCTTCCGGGGGCAGAGTTTACCATTTACAAGTCAGACATGTTATATGCTTTAATATGGATGAAACAGACTAATGACTCTATGACCAACAAAAACAAACAGGGAAACATTGGACAAATAAGTGTTTAATTACTAATACTGTAGCCTTGGGCATGGTGTTTAATCTTTTAGAGCCTCAATCTCATTCTCTGTAAAATTAGATCAAAGGATTATGGTGAAGATTTACATTCATGTGTGTAAAGTGCTTAGTATGTAAAATACATAGCGCTTTATAAGAGTTAGTCAAAGATGATGATTTCTTTAGATATCTCGCAAGAATAACTACCAAATGTTGCCGCTGCTGTGCTTAGTCGCTCAGTCGTGTCCAGCTCTCTGTGACCCCAAGGACTGTAGCCCGCCAGGCTCCTCTGTCCATGGGATTCTCCAGGCAAGAGTACTAGAGTGGATAGCCTATCCCTTCTCCAGGGGAACTTCCAGACCTAGGAATCGAACTAGGGTCTCCTGCATTATAGGCGGATTCTTTACCATCTGAGCTACCCAGGAAGCTGACCAAATGTTGCTACTCTCAGGAAAATAAAAAACATGCTCATTTGTATTTGTTAGAAGGAAATAGGAGGAGATGTTATTGAGGCATGTTTCTCCTTTCATTCTAAAACTTCAGAGAATTGAAATGTTGAAAACCAGAACTCATTTATTTCATGACTATTGATTTTCTGTGCCTAGAACAAATCAGTGCAGGAGTGCAGCTGCCTCTCGTTTTAGCAACTTGCTCTCCACCTCCTCCTAACCTGGCAAGTGAAGGCTGTCTTCTGTGACTCAGGGCATGTCCTGTTTCTCTGTTCTGCTCAGCCACTTGGCTTTGCTGTGTTGTTTTCCTGTCTGCTTCCCTCATGCCTCACACATCCCCTCTGTCCCCTATGGAGCGGCTCCACGCCACAGCTCTCTCAGACCGTGTCTTCTTCACCCCTTGGTCTGGCTCAGGACAAAAAACCAACCAACAGAACAAACAAATAAAAACACTGAACTTATTTGTAAAACAGAAACAGAGTCACAGATGTGGAAAACAAGCTTATGGTTACCGGGGGGAAATGGGACAGAGGGAGGGATAAATTGGAAGGTTGGTATTGACATATAAACACTGCTATATATAAAATAATCAACGAGGTCCTACTGGATAGCACAGAGAACTATATTCATTTTCCTATGATAGATACACAGTTCAGTTCAGTTGCTCAGTCATGTCCGACTCTTTGCGACCCCATGAATCACTGCATGACAGGCCTCCCTATCCAACACCAACTCCCGGAGTTTACTCAAACTCATGTCCATCGAGTCAGTGATGCCATCCAGCCATCTCATCCTCTGTCGTCCCCTTCTCCTCCTGCCCCCAATCCCTCCCAGCATCAGGGTCTTTTCCAATGAGTCAACTCTTCGCATTAGGTGGCCAA